TAGCTTACACCATTCGTGGAACAGTGTAGCCGCAAACTGAACACCTCGGTCGGATATAATCTGGGATGGTAAGCCGTGAAGCGGATACACCCGATTGTATAGCAATTCTGCTAGATCCTTTGCCGAGAACTCGTTTGTTATTGGGTAGAAGTGAGCCAGCTTTGTCAATCGATCCACGACTACGCAAATGGCATCATAACCATCTGATTCTGGGAGCTGAGTGATGAGGTCAACGGTCATAACTTCCCATGGCCCTTCCGGGACACGGTTGGGTTGTAATGGTCCATATGGCTGCTGTGGACGGTTCTTCATCCGTTGACAAATGTCGCAGCCAGTCACATACTTCTTGACAAATACCGACATGCTAGGCCACCAATAATTGCGTGAGACGAGTTCATATGTCTTCCACCTTCCGGGATGTCCGGCTGAAGGGAGATCATGATGCATTTGAACTATACGCCTGCGCAAGTGGTCCTGCTCGCTGTTGGGGATATATACTTTGCCGCGATAAAGCAACAATCCATTCTTATAGTTCCAGTCCACAAGGGACTTGCCGAATTCTCTAGGACCTGACTTCAGCAATTGCTGATAATTCTTGGTCACATCGTCTTGTAGGAGTGCTTCCTTCACTTCCCTCAGGAGTTGATCGTCATTAACGGGCGACTCATGGGAGGCCTCGACTGCATTGATTGCAAAAAACTCCGGTTTCAACAAAGTTTGATCCCAATTATCGAGGTTCACCCCCTCCTCATGGTCTGGCCTCCTGGACAGAGGGTCGGCGGTAAGCATTGTTTTTCCTGGCTTATGGCACAAAATAAAATTGAACCGCGTGAGGTACAGAGCCCATCTCGCTTGTCTCCTAGTCAACTTCTGGGCGGTTTTGAAGTAAGTCAGATTAAGATAATCCGACCAGATCTCGAATTTATCCGAATGTCCCTCCAAATAATGCCTATACTCCTCGAGTGCTCAAATGATAGCAAGCATCTCTTTGTCATATATCTCGTAGTTCCGCTGATGAACATCAAGTGACTTCGAGTAAAAGGCAACTGGGTGCCACAACTTGTCAGTTGGGTCCAATTGAGAGAGAATTGCGCCGGTTGCGAAGTCGCTGGCGTCAGTCTCAAGTCTAAATGGGGATGTTGCATCCGGGATTCGAAGGATGGGTGCTGAGGTAAAAGTCTCTTTCAGACCATTAAATGCCTCTTCCTGCGCCACATCCCACACCCATGGTTGATCCTTCTTGGTCAACGTAGTGAGCGGTTTGGCGTACTTGGCAAAGTCCTTGATAAATCTTCGATAGAAGTTCGCAAAGCCTAAGAAAGCTTGGACTTGTTTGACCTTAGTAGGCCGTGGCCACTCGGCTACTCCTGAAAGTTTCTTTGGGTCCATCTCGATATGTCCTTTGGAGATAATCATGCCGAGGTACTCAATGCTGCTTTTTTCAAAGGAGCATTTTTCCGGTTTGACAAATAGATCGTTCTCCCTCAGCCGCTTCAGGACTTCCTTTGTAAGCTTACAATGTTCCTTGAGATCATTCGAACAGATGAGAATGTCATCAAGGTAAACTATGACTTTTCCTCCTCGTATGAAATCACCGAGTACGTCATTCATCATCACTTGGAAAGTTCCTGGTGCGTTGCAGAATCCGAAGTACATGACTGTGGCTTCATATAGCCCTCGATGTGTGATAAAAGCCGTTTTCCATTCGTCACCCTTCCGGATGCGAACATTATTGTATCCTCATCGCAGATCAATCTTAGTGAATATCGATGCTTGACTGAGTGTATCAATCAAGTCTGCTATGCGGGGTATTGGGTAACGGTTCTTCACAGTTACGTCATTGATCTTCCGGTAATCCACAACTAAACGCAGCCCTCCATTATGTTTCTTGACAAAGAAAACAGGAGAGGCTAGCGGGCTTTTGGACTTTCGAATATACCCCTTTCAGAGTTCGTCGTCAATCCACTCGTCGAGAGAATTCCTCTCTTTCAGAGACATCGGGTATAGTTTGGCCGGTCGAGGTAGGGCAGCTCCTTCCTCGAAGTCAATACCATGGTCGTATGGTTTGCGCTCCGGCATCCGCTCCGATTTCTTTTGTGAGAATACGTCCCCGAACTCGTGTAGATATTCAGGGATGAGAGACTTCCACTTAGTGGTGTCCGCATCCTCCTCCTCAACATCCTTGTTCAGAATGCTTGCGACAAATTCTGCCATTTGTAGGTCATCTGGATCATCTGTCGAGATCCAGTTGATGTATGGATTTTCAGTACACTCCTCTCCTAAGGCGTGCAGCGGAGTGACTAAGGGTTCCTCCCTTGGTAACTGAAGCTCGTCGGTTTCTTCATCAGTCACACGATTAGTTTTACGAGCTTTGGGGGCACAGCTTTCAGGGCACCTGGTGTACCTCCACTCCCCTTTGGCCCAGTCGATCTCGGGATTGTGTTTTCTAAGATAGGTCATGCCAAGGATCATGTCCTTACTCCCCAAATCTGCGACTAGCAGTGGGTGTGTTGACTTATGTGATCCTATTTCGACGTAGGCTCTAATGGACTTATTTATTTCACCGCTTTTATTGGAGGTCCCATCTGCGTTATAAACGTTGTACGGGGTTGCCAGCTTATGCGTCACCAGACTGTTACTTTCAACAACTGACCGATTGATGAACGATGTTGTGGCCCCTGAGTCTACCAAAGCTTCGACCTGCACTTTCTTTCTGTATACCCACAGTGTCACAGGCAGAGTGAATGAATTCTTGTTGCGAGAGATATTTACAAGACTGCTGTGTACACTATCTACATTGATTCCAACGGTGGGTTCCGATTCCTTAAGTACATGCTCGCAGGTAGTCACATGTACTTCTTCCAAAGATCCGAGGTAGCTGCAGTGGGTTCTGTCTTTGCAGACAGCTGGGGTTCATCCTTCCCAGCCAGAGTTGATTCCTCGACGTTCGCAATCTCCTCGATTCTCGCAGTGTTGGCGCTCACGGCTTTCGTGGACGGGGGCATGTTGTCCTCGCTATCCGTAAGCTCGACTTGAATAACCCGCGTTTTCTTAGCCTTCTTGACTGCGGGGTTACCACTTCCTCCTTGTGCCTTCTTAGCGCCATCCCCTTGGGTATTCGGCCGCTTGTCCGCATTTTTGGCCAACTTGTAGCAATCATCTGTGTTATGAGTCTTCGACTTGCAGATGACGCAATACTTCTTTGCCTCTGTCGAGGCAGCCTCAGCGTCCTTTGCCTTGCCTTTGCCTTTACCCTTCGATTTCGACTTTTCAGCCAAATCCATGTCCATGGGAACAGCGCCGCCATTATCTGAGCCACTGTTCTTGAATACTGAGCCTCGTGCCTTCTCCGGGTTGACAATCTTGTTGATGTTGAGCAAGATGTCGAGGAACAACGTCCAATCCTTTGGCAAGGTGGACTCATCCTTCCCGGCCAACACCAACCACATGTCATGAGGTATAACCTCCCGGAGTTTGTCGATGAGAAGACTATCGTCATACTACGTGAGACGTCCGAGGGTGCGGAACCTCTCAGCGTACTTCACAAAGTCCTTCAAGGCCAGATCCTTATTGATGAACAGCGCCGTGATCTCCTTCTTTGCACCCTCCTTGTCGTCGCGTTGCCCGTATATCTGGGCTAGTTCCGCCACAAATGCCTTCCAGGTGCCCAGATCCTTTCCTTCCCGCATTTTCACGTAGTAGCTCTTCATGTACTGATGAGCTGGTCCTTGCAGCTTTGAGAGGGCCGTTACAATTCGCTGTTTGTCAGTGGCCACTCCCTCATGCTCACACCACAGTACGATCAGGTCCAGCCATTCCTCAAGCTTGGTCTTATCCTCACTGCCCTTGAAGGCTGGAGGTTCCCCAATCTTAGGTTGACGGGAATGACCACTACCCATTGACGCAGGTAGCGCATCGACTTGTTGCTTGTAGGAATCGACTAGCGCCTGCTGATTCTGGACCATGATGTGCAGGGATTCAACCTCTCGAAGGAGGCTCTGAAGGTATCCGTCGTAGTGCCTGCTTATTTCTAAGGTCAGGCGACCAATCCAGTCTCTGACTCGTCCAGTGGTCGATTCTGCGGCATTCGCAGTAACCGTTTGCAGCAGAGCTGCTTGTTCATCAGAGACGTTCACATTCTGGAAGATTGCATTGTGCCACTCTTCTTCTGTGGCGATAGCGAATGCTTCGGTCGGAACGAAGGGGATGTATGGGGCCATTTCTTATTGTAGTGATTAGCCCATATTCACTTATGATTGAAAGAAAAAAGTGAAGTGAAGGAGATCTCCTCTTCATGCCATATAAGCCAATTATGCCAGAAAAGATTGCCAATCTTTATTCCACTATCTACACTTCGTACTTGAAGGTGATGTTTAGGCTAGCCAACTCATTACAAATCTCCGGTAGGCGACTGCTTAAGTCTTCGAAGGAGACATGCCCGATCCTTTTCAGGTCGCGCTTGATAACTCTCCAGTGCCTGTTGGTAAGCCGGCGCGCCTTCTTCTCCAGCCCATGATACAACTCGTCAAACCCATCGCCCATCCTCCTGACTTTCGCCACAACTTCCGGCTCCAAGCTCCCTTCTTTCTTTTCCATTTGAGCGAACACCGGTTCCAGCCTGTCGGCTGTGGCGGCAAACATCTCGTTGTACTCGGATGTGCACAACAGAATCTTCGTGCGCTGGAAGTGAATGTCGGGGAGCGGCTTGGGTGGTTCGTATTTGTAGGAGGGTCCCGCCTGCATATCAATGTGATCGATGAGGGGGGGAGCAGGGTCGGAGATATGATCGAGCAACTGTTGCTTCTTGAAGAGATGCGCACGAAGTGCAAGCTCCTCCATGTCGTGTTTCACTTTTTCAGCGCATTCAGGGTTGAAGGGGCGGCGGATGAGTGGTTTGATGGTGGGGCGTACAATTCGGCGAGGTTTGCCAACATTGTCAAACTTGTGCGTGTTGTGGATGGCAATGCGCTCAAGCAGGCCTGTCGGCTCATGCTTGGCAGTGACAATGAAAGGTTTGGCTTTCGGCATGGCTACGGCAGAGGGGATTAGATAACAGCTTTTCAGCTGGCTCTTTTCAAAGCGAAGAAAAGGGTATGTGCTATACTACAGGGTCCATTGGTCGTGCTTTGTGTCGGCGTCCTCCTGCTCTCTCTCAGCAGGTAGGGAGGGGGGAATACAGATCTCAGTCGGGTTTCCACACCCGCTGCAAGTGGTTTTGGGAGAATCTTACACTCTCCCTAAGGCTGCGCATGCTGGTTATCCGTCGTAAGCCCTAAGGCCTCATAGAATGGTAAACCACATTCCAGCATGTTGCCCATAAGGCAGCAACCTCCCCTTACGCCTAGGGACCGGCGAAAAGCTCAGCATGTTGACACCAATTGTTCAACCCTGACCAATAAAGGTAGGTGCTTCGCAAAAAGGTATTGCCACTTTTTAGTTGACAAACCATAACCCCCAGAACCCACATGAAAGGCCACCTTACGCTTTGCAGCATAGGGGCATAGCAACGACCAATAGGCCCTGTAACAAAGCAGGTAGCAAGGGACCCTTGCCAGGGCCCAGTGCACCTTAAAGCAGTTCTATTCAACTATCACAAAACCTATAAACCCACCTTATAGCTTGATGGTAAGGGGGGGAGATAAGCACTTAAGTGTGGGGGA